TTAGCTTTATCCAACCCGAAGGAAACTAAATTAGTGTTCTTAAGAGGTCTCGTAAGTGAAGACGACTAAAACAGTTGTTCGAATGGTTTGTGGAAAGTGTATGGTGTGAAATTACTCAGTAATTAGGTGGTTCAATTTTTTGAAGCCTTAAAGGAATGTATCTGACTACTGGGATCCACTTGTGAGTAGATGACCAGGCGAGGGTGGACGGTCAGTTGACTCAATCCTACCCAGGAATACTACGTGTGAGTCGGAAGAACTATCTGCTGAGTTAGCACACTTGATGCTAAGTTCGATAAGCTTAAAATAACAAATTTGAAACTGGGAATTATAATTCAGATTAAGTCCTCTTTCTAACTGATAACCTAGTAATCTGTTTTCTCTAATTTTTTTTCAATCACTCCGATTCACGAATTGTGGGTTTGTCCTAACACATTTTGGGAAACTCGCGGTCAAAACACGCACGTGCTGTCGGATTGTGATGCAACGGTTTGGACAGATTCTCGAGCCAGCGTACGTAATGTTAGCATGTCGAGCCGCCGTTACATTGTGTCGTGTGTGTGCGGACGGGTGTTGCGTCACATTTTATCAGAACAGTCATTCGACGTATGGTCGATACGATCACACTTTCGAGTTACACTACTGAGGGGGTGGCGTTAGTCTGAAACATTAACCACAAGTGTCGTTTCATCTCAATTAGACATTGTGAAGGTTGGTGGGAGGCTGATACCAAATCACGCGTGGCGTACTCACCATAGTCTGCGCGTGGTAGAAAGGGTCAGCACGAACAAAGTGGTCGTATAAAGACCGCTTGCGCAAACCTCTTATTTGTGTGACAAACCACGTTCAATCAGGCTACTGATTAGTTTTACTAACCTGTATAGCATTCAAGCAGACCAAAAAATCACTGAGAAGACACTTCAAAGAAGACCAAATTAGAGTTCACTTTTGATTAACTGACCAGTTCTTTGAGTCGGTTCATCTTTCTTGGTTCTCGTAGTCTCAGCTTCTCACAAGGAAACACAGGTAGGTAAACAAACAAACTGAGATGCTGAAAGTTCCGTTGTGAGCAAGCTATGCTATTAGCGAATCACACTCATTTGCAAACCATTTTGGTTTTGCGAGAGATTCACCTGGAACCAAGCTGAATCTCTCGTTTATGACGTATTACTTCTATTGCCATTGTTATCTATGACCCATGTCGCCCTTGTCCACGTGAAACCCACATTGGTTCGCCATATCCCTGCCTAAAAGGTGGGTAATTGACTTCTGCAACCGACCAAACGCTGACATGTCCCAGAAACCCAAAGAACACTGGTTTTTAGTTTATGTAGGAGGGAAGGAGATTTGGAAACCCTTGGTTACGGACCCAAATAAACATAACGTCAGTTATGAGTGCTTTCATCGATCACCGCTTGAACACCTCTCCACTAAGCCCCAACCAGTTCATTTGGGATTAATATTGGCTTGCATATCAGATGTGATATGTGCCGACGTCCAGAATCGTTTTTATTTGTTGTGGTAGTGTGCCTTGTGGTGTACGAATAATCTGCACTGATGTTAACTTATCATACCGCACAACTATAATCAGTAAAATGTCCATTATTTCCCCATGAGAATCATCGTGGCGTGTCTTTGTTCGTTCTTGCTGCAATAAACCTTTGTGAAATGTTGAAATGTGAGTTCTACTTTCCGATCTGAGACATTCATAGCACCAATAAAGCCGCTTTATCCTTCAATCAGAACCAGTTGTAGAAAAACTGCAGCATTTTCCCTGAAGACCTGATTAGAAATCAGGTTAATTGTGCAGCATCATCCGGCTTAACGACAGATAAGACGGGTTTCCAGGTCGCTCATGAAAAAGTTGATCGTTCTGACGTTTATTTTAATAAATTGGAGTAGAATATTGAATATAGTCTATCCTGGTGGAACAAGTGCCCGTCTGACAACCAGTAGTTAATCAGCGGTTTGATTACCTCTCACTTAGACAGGGCATAGCTTGCTCATCCTTCAATTACGGAAACCATGTGAGGCAGCCACATGTTGACTGCCTTCCACTGGCTTCTCAGAACAAAGTCTCGCACGTCTAGTGAAATTATCCTTCTTCTGAGCTGCCTATTGGTTCATGGTAATGTGAAGAGGTTTGGCAACATCCAATGGAGATTATATCCTGTCCGTGAAGGCAATCTATGCTGAATAGTCTGGAAGCACCGTACAACTGCTTCATCCTTGCCGGGGATCATCAGCAGTGATATTTTTATATTCCTAGGTCAAAATGCAACGGGCTTCTGTGGAATGTCAGTATTGTGTGATACAAATAGCTCTATATTGGAAATATAGCTTAGCTCTTCACTTTTTTGTTATGACTGATGTAAAGTAAGCTGTCAAGTAACATGTAACACGCTTGAGCGAATCGCTTCAACACTCGTTTTGTGAATTCTTGGATGAAATGATGTGCGTATGACTGCTTACCTAGTCGGTGACCCACTGGGCTGCAGGCGAAAGTTGCATTATCACTGACGCCGGACGTGCCAGTGGTAGTCTCGTGGTCTTTCAGCTTGGAAGCAGAGCATGGCCAACGATTTGTGTCCTCAAAAGCTTGTGCTCACGTAACAGCGTGGCAGCGACCGCTCGCTCGCTTAAGGTCAGGCTGTCAAGCCTGAAACTCCGGTCGTCCTCCTGTAAAGTAATGGGTATCTGACAGTATCCAGCTGGCCTACCAGCATGATTTTCAAAGTTGGATTACTGTCTTATCTCACCTCTTGTCGCATGGTGCCAACAGCAAGTTCACATTAATTCATGAAGGCCGAAGGGCGGACAAGCGAAAAGACCTTATTATTGACGCCCACGTTACGATTTCACGTATGGCTTCTCCTCCTCTAGCCTACCTTAGTGTAATTCTGAGCGCTAGGACCGTCAGTTCTATTCGTCTTTCGTCTTTTGTTTGCCCCATACAGTAACAGGTCCAGAAGCCTCGGAAAAAGCTCGAAACCTGGAAAGCCATTTCCTTCGCCACATTACCGTTCGCACTCCAAAACAAGCAGGCCAGTTTGCTGCATCTGTTGTTAATCCGGTCTGTCTGAATTGGCGTGTGCGGTCTGCCGAAACAGAGAAATCAGGACTCGGGTACTAGATTCGTATCAACTGTCCTATCAAATTGCTCCCACCTGTGGTGACAACGTATACCAAAAACCTATTGCACTGGCCGCTACCAAATACCGGGGCAGTGAAAATCGGTACGTACAAAGTAAATGGCACCGAATCCCACTAGAATGCAGTTACGGATGGCACGGAACGATAACTGCCTGTTGGTACTTCCAGAACGCCTATGTGGACTCGAGTCGTGCACTTTTCCGCTGCATACTAATGTATACGGTATGACCTACCAGCGTCTTTCATTCATTAGTCCCCTGAGAAAACTGTGGTTTTACTAGAGGCCGGGAGGTAGATCAACGCCATAGACCTGCTGGAAATGTCCTCAAACTTTGGATCAAGCCGACAGTTTGTGAAGATCGGGAAGTCTACTGCGTTCCGATGCCCGGGGAAGTAGAAGAATGGGAGAATGTTGCAAATGTCCATTCTACTTGTTTAGATCAATCCCTCGAAAACCTCCTGTCCTTGACACTATCATAGGCAACAATAGGTCTGGCAAAGAGAAATGGTCTGTGAGTAGATAGTTGAGGAGTAGATAGTTGTAGTAACTATGCAGGAAATGTGTTTAGCGAAGTCATTGCATGGGGTTCAGGGGTGAATTAGCATCTTCAGCTCTGATCACCGGCTTTTCATAGATGCTACTGATTTTGGACGGTGTATGGTAGTTAGAATCGAGGTGGTTATAAATCAGGTGTTGAAGATATCACAGCCACAAAAACATCTAGTGCCATCAACCACGGTGCTGCAGTAACACATCACGCACGACGAATCATCGAGTGTTGAGTCCTAAGTCCATTTCAGAACCGTGCAACATGCGAGGTAGACAGACAAAGTGTGATTTCAGCAGATGGACATGAGTGAAATTACGAGAAATCTGAGTATTGTTTACCAGAATCCTTGCGACCCTCCTGGTGCGTAACCGGAGACTGCATGAAATAACTCTATCAAAAGTTATCGTGAGGTTGGTTGCTGACTAGGTTGTTTCAGTGTGCTAGGTCGGCGACAGGTCAATTCGCTGTCCGCCTTTTTTCTTCATCCACCTCAAACATTTTTGAAGGTTACACAAAATTTTCTGTCGTACAGCAGTGAAGTTAGTCCCGGGTTTATAGATGTTATTCGCGTTGATGTTGATGCTGACAACGGCAGTGAAGCATCGGTGTTGAACACTGATATCATGCTGTCGATGATGGTAATGATGATGATGATGATGATGACAACGATGACGTAGTTGTGACGTCAGTAATGGTTGAGCAGAGATGGAAAAGAGGCAGAAAAGATATATTTCCATTTAAACCAAATTCATATTTGCAAACTGAGAGTATTGAAGGAAATTTTGACGACCAGTATTATTTACGGCTTTATCCAAGGATGTGTACGTTACAGTGGTCACTGGAGCGAAAGCCACTAAATTGTTTGATGACAGTCAACCTGTATACCCGACTGACTGTCCCGGAAGGCTCCAACTACATATTACATCATTGACGATAGTTTTCTGAGGCCTTTACGATTTAATAATGTTGTCCTACATAGATTCAGACACGGCCTTCCCCAAAGTATTAACATAAATCCTGAAATAAATTGTGATTCTTTACCCACGATTATCTGCTTGATGAATTTGTTTGTTTGTTTGTAATGATAGGGTAAAAGACGGTGTGGCAAGCATGCGTTCCGTTGGTTTAAAAAGTTGGGACCTAACTCATCTTATAGTACAAGTAACGTGATATGTGCTACAATCACTATTTTGTAGTTTCACGCACTTCAGTTGTATTTCACTACATCGTGTCCGGCAGATGACCACATTTAAACTTCCTTCGTTCCTCACTTAATACATGTCCCTCTCTTCCAGAATGCCGCTTTCTCCGCGGCTCGACGACTCAAATGCACCAACGGAATCCCGCGTAATTCAAAACTCTAACGGCTACTATTCAACCGACTTGATACCTAACGCTAACTTCAGTAATCGAACGCATATCGACTCCATGAAAGTCAGTCCAAAGACTTCAGTCGTCCACACGGTGGGAAGTGCCTCGCTGTTAGACCTGGATCCGTCCAGCACTTCTGGTTTCCAAAACTCGTTCCCACAACCTCTAACCACTCGCACCACGACATCGGATCCGGAAGTGGATTGCATGTCTCCGAAACCACTCTACAGAACGAATCTGCTAGAAGAAGATCTACTTCATACATACGGCTCCATCACTGAAACTCGCCTTGACAACATCAACAAAAGTCATCCTGCTCTTCCTGTGGCAGCGAATAAAACGCATGATCCCTGGTACAGCCCTGAACCACATATTGTTGGCCGTATTAAACAACACCTAATGTGCAGTCCACCCATTGAAATACCATTGAATTCTATTTTGCAAACCAATTACCGAACGAATTTCGGGGGTTGGATCACTGGTCAGCCCGTAGAACAGTCGATACAAGAAGCAGTTGCTTCTTCGATGGGCAGTTCATCAGAGCCGGACTGGTCCTGGCCAAGCGTTGAAGTAGAGAATGCTCTCTTGCAGAAGGATTCTTCCGGGCAACAAACACAGACCTACTACAATCCAAATTGCTCCATAGACCCAGCTACTGGAACATACTCTGATTTATCTGGGTCATGCAACCTGCTTTTACCCTGGCAGCCGACGATGGCATTGCACAGTAATATAGAACAACTGGACAGTGACCAACAGTCGATTCACAATGCCGGCAGCTCTTCGACAAGTGCCTCTGTGCCACAAGAAGTCGAGTTAGATGAGGGAATCACTGAAGAAGACGGAGAGTCAAACAGTGGTTCATCGAATGGAACGTTGTCAGGACCAGTCGCCGTGGAAACAGAAAGTCATCCGTCAGTGAAATCAGAGTATTCCGTAGATACTTCGACAAGCTTAGGCTGTGATATCTCACAAAAATTACCCGAGATCGGCGGATCCCCATTGAAGAGCAAATCTGGATATTTTGGTGAGTCAGATATTCTTAAGTGATACAATGAAACCCCATGTCTAGTGCATTCATTAGGAATGAGTTCAGCTGCAACATTCCGTATAAATGTTTTCATTTCGTAACACAGTCTGACATATTTGCTCTCAAGGTACTTGTAAACCGGTAAAAGTTTGCGTACAGTAAGCCATTCTTCTAATAAGTAATCTTGTGACGCGACATAACAATTCTGGAGGAACTTGAAAATTCCACTGTGGAATATTCATAGGGAGCTATTCGGAGCACTGCAAGAAATACCTGGTGAGGGCAATTCTTCTGGTATCAAATGAGTTCTGTTTTTACCAGAGTGGTTACTGTTTTCAATCATGGGTCACCGTTGCTAACCTATGCAAGAAAAACTGCAGGGCAGAATTGAACCAAACGTGTAACTTGCTGTCGATTGGGGGACAGTTGACTGATCATGCAAATTGATCTGAGGAACGAAAACAAGCTAGACAGCACACTATGGCTGTCTTGTTGGCAGGTGTAAACTCAGTCGGTGTCGCATGAGCAGCAAATGCTTGCTCAATCTTACCAGTGCACAGCACATGGTGGATCATCTGACTATCAGAATGGCATTTAAGCTGGATGGGTCGCTTGAATGTGATGGAGGCTGATTCCATGCTGATCTCCTATGATATACAGATAAGTGGGCACATTCAGCTCTAGTGACCGCAATCTGCAAAAGGAATGTATTTAACCTTTACTTCATTTTTAAAAGATGATTGGTCCATCTGGCACCCGAATTACATGCAGCTATACATAAGTGCTTGACCGTTTGAGACCCAAGCGTAGATGAATTCATGGGGAATTTCCGAAGGAGGGGAAATTGCATCCCAAATACGCGCCCGTATTGCGTGTGTACAGAGGATCGGTTTCACTCCAAGGACACCAGCTGGTTGGATAAGCAAGGCTACCAAGCTGCCGGAGTAGAAAACATAGTGAAGAGAATATTCCAAACCGAACCCTTGCGTCTCACTCTTGAGTCAGTCAGCTATTGTCACGAGTTGGTTCTCTGGACTCGGTCCGTACAATTCTGTACATTTATCATAATGCAGAGCAATTCATATGGGTGAAACATAATAAGGTGGTTCGATGGCAATTTACAAACATCTATGAAGACTATAAAAGATACAAATAAGTGGTATGGACATAATACGCTACTCGTACTCTTCCTGAAAACTCTTCGGCAGCCCGCGACTGGTTTCACTCTTCGTGTGGCTCACCAGGTAGGCGCAGTTCCCCAGTTCCCATCAACTTCATGTTCCACTTGAACCCAAATTGCACGAAATTCGACCTATGAGCTCATTTACATATTAACCTGGTTTTGACAGGAGACGCACATTTAACCTAACTGAATCTCTTGTTTACGGTGTTCTTAATCAGCTGAACATGCTGCCCCATGTTTCAGTTTGTACGATATTCAGGAAATCTCAAGGTATGAACATCTACTGAGGTTTTAAGAGATCCTACTCGGTTGCTCACCTGATCACAAGCAAAATCCATTCAAAAGTTGTTTTTAGAGTAATTTTCTGAGGATTTCGAACACTTATGTGGTTATATGGGATGGTATAGCGTGCTGGGAAAGCAAGCCTCTTGCAACATCACTGAGGCTTGATTTTTATCCTTAAGGTCACACGACCACTTGGCTTTTATCTATTGTTCCTTGGGTCCATTACTATGGGACCGCTGTATAGTCATTGGTAGGAACTATACTCCCATGAAAGTAAACCTTTGTTCTGTCAAAAGATTTTCGCAGCCGTTAGCTTTCTTTGGTGAGACAGCTATATTCTAACACAGGTCCTTACCCCTCTGATTCTGCTTTGATATTGTAATATGCACGCTATAGAAGTACCAGGGGACAGTGATTCTCCGAAGGCAGGTGTTCACGACAATTTCTGTGGATGGAAAACAGAAATAAAGCTCATGAGCCAAAGCCCAGTAAGCAAGGTTGTGCATCACCAATACTTACATATGAATCAATCAAAATGTCAGACACCGTATACTACACTGGCCTCCTTTTTGAAGAACACCGTCCCAGGTGTACCATGGCCTACGTGAACCGGCCAGTGCTAGTGGTGTGGTGCGTTAAGCTGATGAGCGTGTGCAGAGGTTGCTGTATCTGGGGCTGCGTCTACCGTGTGTGAGTGAGCAACGTGCTAGCTCTGAGGCCTGTATGCACATATGTAGAACCAGGATCTCTGTGGTAGGTCTACCAGTGTGTGGTAGCCATCCTGGCGTGGTCGCCAATTGTGTAATATGCACGCTATGGAAGCACCTGGGGACAGTGATTCTCCGACGGCAGGTGTTCACGACAATTTCTGTGGGTGGAAAACAGAAATAAAGTTCATGAGCCAAAGCCCAGTAAGCAAAGTTGTACATCACCAATACTTACATATGAATCAATCAAAATGACAGACATCGTATACTACAATATCGGTACTGTACGCCGTGCCGTGATTGACTTTTACCATTGCAAGCTACTGATCCCAGTTCGTGCACCAGCCACTCACCGTGTACTATCATCAGACGAGTAGAATTACCCCAAGTATTGAGAGAGGGAAGGTAATTTTGGAACAACGAGCATAGTTTTTCAGCCCATGCGTTCGAATGTCCCGCTTGTTCTTCGAACGGTCGCCACCCACAAAGCAACCTTGTTCGACTTCAGCAAGCCATTCGACTTCTACTATGGCCATGGCGACCTGCCACATCCACTGTATGTTTACCCATACTGATAAGGCGAGTAAACAAGCAGCGGTAATGACAGGCGCGGCAGCAGCAGCAGCAACAGCAATAGAACCAGCAGCAGCACTCCGGACAGCAAACTCATGTATCCGACTAACATGGGAGGAAACCATGTAACTTCAGAGAAAAAAAACAAAACTGGTGGGGTGGACGTGTGCTTGTGCAGCTGCCTATCCTCATCACTGCATTCCAGCATAGGAGCTCTATTCTGCTCTATTCATACAGAATCACGGATCATGAGGTGTGATGTCTCGGTTTCGCAGACGACCTGATTGTTTTAAGCATGGTAACTGACCACAATTCATTACACGCAACAGTTCCAACTTTTCTATTGTTCGGCAGGATTCGCACCTTGATGTGTCACGTGTCTGATAAGCCATGTACGCCTGACAGCCTACCACTGTTTACTTGCGCATTACAGCTTACACCAGTGTTGAAAAACGGTCGATAAATGTTAGTTTTTCCACTTTATTACATTTAGTAAAGAGGGTCAGTTGAAAATCGATCATGAAACGGAGGAATCTTCAGGCGGATTTCCTGTTCCAAAGTCAACACTATTACGAAACTCATAAGATTGAAGCTGCTTCTCACAAATGAAGAATAAAAGAGCCTCTCAAACCTTAAAGTAGTCGATAGCACTGTGATCAGAGCGACTATCGGAGGGGGAGGGGTTGAAGTTGTCTCCGTAGTTTTCTGAATCATCTGGGAGTCGGGTTCATGGTTTATAGTGGAAGCCAATGTTCACCTTCTTAGAGGTCCCACTGAAGAAAAGGTTTCCAAAGATCTGATCGTGTCTAAAATTGGCGTCCTTTAAATCGTTTAGTATGATTTAGGAACATCCGTATTTCACTGTCATTTAGGTTGGGTTGTCACCACGTTCACTCGGTATTGATAAACGCACAAACTTCGGCTGTGTTGCTTAGGAGCAGTTGACTTGACCGTGAATATTATAGCCATTTATACCTATTTCTTTCCAACCAACTTGTGTTGAGGATGTTTAATGTCTGCAATCGGTAGCGATTCACACTGACTGCATTCAACTGTCCCATTATGATAGAAGTACGTGCGATCGGAATTCCCACTTTAGTGATGCTCCGTTCTATTCAACATGGACGCTGTTAAGGATTCAGACAAACTGATCCACAGAAGTGTTCACTTGTGGCTATTTGGCTTGCCCGGATATGTTTCTGTGCGACAACACTTGTGGTTCATTCTACATGTTTCCATACTGTGCGTGATACGGAAGCCCATTAGGAAACTATTCACCCAGGCGGATTTTTGCTCTGCTGGAAAAGCAGGCTCAGAATATTCATTCTGAATATGTTCTCGATACTGAGAATGAAGGGTATTTCATACGGTTCTTCAGACATATTTGCAACGGACATCTTTTTCCCCGTCTGCTTATGATTTATTGCTGCCTTGTTTTTCTACAGAATCCCACTCCCCATTAGGAATCAGGACAGGCGGTGAAATGGTCCAATGTGTTCGCTGTGGTATGTATAACCCCAGTTCATCGTTAGAATGGGCACGAGACGAAGTAACCGGATTGTTTCTTTGCGCGTATTGTGTATCCTATCGACCCTATCCTCCATCTGAGGCATCAAGTGCGACTGCATCGAGTGAACAGACATCATCAGTTATCTTCGGTGATCACTACCAACATCCGGAACTTCGTGTGCCCTGTACATACCCGTCTTCTCCAAGAAATCAAAATACTATGAGGGATGAAGATCACCGGGCCTATGGCTTCACCAAAATTAGCCCTTTACCAGGTATTATATCACATAGAAAACGACTCTCCAATTATCGTTATTTCAGATGTTTCTTTCGTGTATTGACTGAATTTGAATCCGTATGTAATTGCTAGTATGCAAAATCATTTAGAACAGACGGGTTACATATCACACGTTTTTTAGGAAGTAGTGAATCAAGGGTGGGGTAACTAACAAAAGTAGTCCGGAGTACAACTATTAACCTGTGGTAGAACGAATTACTCATGTGTGTAGCATGATCAGCCATCTAGAGATGTGCTACATTAACACCGCTGAGCGATTACCAACTATATTTATAAGATATTCGTTCAGCAGTGATACCCTTCCGGTGCTTTGCTGTCATGTCATGAGAAGGAATCACGAGGACTGGGCTGTTACCACGCTGTCCAAGCCTAGATAGAAGAAATCGAGATGGAGAGGTTGGGTTTTAACCGCGGACCTTCCAGTCAGTAAATTCACGCTCTGGTCACTGAGCCATCTCGCTCCAGCAAGTAGATTTATTTGATCATCAGTGGACAGAAGGACAGAGATGCTCCCCAGTACCATGGCAACTGAGTGTTTTGGAAAGGAGGGTTCCAACTTTTGAAACACGGTATCCTTCATCTAAGTGCGGACTCGTCTTTGGTTGGACGGTTTGTTGAAAATTGGTTTTGGATCCTCATCGCTTTTCAAGAAAGTAGGTCTTGCCGCTTGTACAAGGAGAGTCCTAAAAACTATAGTGTCACACAGCGACAATCTCTAGACGATTTAAGTCGGGCTGACCAAGCTTACGTTATGATTCACAGAATGAGCTCCTTAAAATCTACAGTGACCGTGATAGTCCATCTAGTTTGTGAAAAATACCTTGCGAATATGGCAGTCCCAAATGATTCACAGCCTCCCGGCATTAGTGAAGCTGTCTGTTTTGCGAGTGTCTTCCATTTCGAGACTAACTAGCCACGTATATTTTTAGTAAGGAAGCCTCAGATGCTACTGTGGACCTTGGGAAGCGGACATGTTTCTCCAGTGGAAGTTGTGTTGGAGATGGTTACAAGACTGATCAGCCGTGGGGTTCTCGGTGGTTCTGACTTGCAACCATCACTATACGGAGCGCTGAAACAAGGACAATCAAACTGCAAACAATAATAGTCAGCGAAGGACAGCAACTATTTATCAGGGTGACCAAAATGTCTTAGTTTCAGGCCACAACTCAGTAGTGTTTTAAACTCGAATAAATGTCAAATTATCAGTACCAATAAGAGCTTTATCTCCTAAATGGCGATGCAATAAATTAAAAGAAGAAAACAAAGATTGCCTCACTTTTCCGTCGGTATGGCCTCCCATATTTTGCAGTATATTTTCTTGGAAGGACAGATTACTCAGCTGTGCACAATTCACAATTTGTGTACAACTTGGGTTCAAGTAGAAGGTTAGCGTGACAGAAATTCGGAATGTGCGCCTACAAGACGGGCTCTAAGAAGGATGAAATCGGTCGTCTTCTGTCAAACAACGTTTCGTAATCGAGTTTAGTGAGCGACAGTCCAAAACAAAAGATTATGATATTTACAATAGTACCATTTACCCCTTCTCTACATCAGCGTCTGCAGTTTCACAGAGTGCTCATGAATCTCTTCAACGCAGACGGACGAAGTGACATAAGTTATAGGACGAAGTCTCACACAAACCACAAAGACTTTGGCTTGATTCTTCGTCTAGTTCCTTGCCTAAGGTTGACGATACCCGTAAACGTGCCATTTCCTGCAAGGCGAAAGCAATGTTTCCCTCGAGATGTTGCCAATAATTTAGGACAGCAAATAGAATGTGCTGACGGAAATTCGAAACAGCTGTTTGCTGTATAAGGACCTTTAAACGAGGTGGCGAACTTTTTTTAGCGCTCTCCTGAGCTACCGTCGTTTAGTGAGCGACAGTCCAAAACAAAAGATTATGATATTTACAATAGTACCATTTACCCCTTCTCTACATCAGCGTCTGCAGTTTCACAGAGTGCTCATGAATCTCTTCAACGCAGACGGACGAAGTGACATAAGTTATAGGACGAAGTCTCACACAAACCACAAAGACTTTGGCTTGATTCTTCGTCTAGTTCCTTGCCTAAGGTTGACGATACCCGTAAACGTGCCATTTCCTGCAAGGCGAAAGCAATGTTTCCCTCGAGATGTTGCCAATAATTTAGGACAGCAAATAGAATGTGCTGACGGAAATTCGAAACAGCTGTTTGCTGTATAAGGACCTTTAAACGAGGTGGCGAACTTTTTTTTAGCGCTCTCCTGGAGCTACCGTCTTTTTAGTCTTGATGATAGTTGGGTCCCTCCCTTGATCAAACGAATGTTGCACCTTACTGCTGAAATTATTTTTATTATCAATATTGTTGTGATTGTTATTGAGGCTTGTTTAAACCGGCCTCACCAACTCCTCCTGAATCAGTATGAAGAAAACTCTGCAGTCAATCTTTGATCTAGGTAAGGTCATTAATTATAACATATTTCCAAATCGAACAAATCATAGAGATATTTCGTACCCTATGTGCTGTTTATTCATTCTTGTTTCATTTTCGCCGTTCCTAGTCGGAAATGATGAACCTTTGCGTGGATCAAGGCAGCAAAGTTTGCAGACAGTAACACCTGTACCTGACGGGTACAGCTGTGATATACCATCTTCGCAGGTTTTTCGTTATCCAACTTTGTTCGACCCTTTGGGAATTTCGACCCATCACAACAGACCGTACGAAAATGAACCCGGAGAACTTCATTGTATGGACAATGTACTCCAAACAGATTATCCCTCTGGCAGAACAGCTCCTTCCCAATCACTGAACATTAGCGCATATTGGTCAGACAACAGTCTTCTTCGAAAATCATCCCGATGTTCCACCCTGGACAGTCAATCGGAACCCCCTCTCCTATCGAAACGAATCGATACACCCTATGTCCCGCCGACTTCTCGTTCATTCGGATGGGAGTACAGTGCGCAGATTCCTTTGGGTTTTTTGAGTAAACCGTATTGGGGTGAACCAGTTTTTTCCCCATGTTCATCGCAGGCGATCACCGGCACACTTCGCAATAGCAGTTTACGTCCAAATGGTGAGGAATTGAAAAGAAGCTCCTGGTCTTACATCCATCCACCCCGAAAAGAGCCTGACAGTCCGGGCTTTCAACGAAAACAAAATGGAAGTCAGACTCCTACTTTTGAATCCACCATGGTGAGTTGGTTTGATGATATTTTTACGTGGCTTGTGAGACGACTCTGTCGTGGTTGGATTAGCAACAGAACGGATTTCTGAGCACAACATTTCGGTGAGATACTGAAGTAATAGACAAATTACTGGGTAGGTGTATGTTTGATGTGATCCTCTGTTTCAAACAGTTCACTATCCCCAAAATATGGAACGACAACGCTTGTGTTATAACACTCTTAGGCGTCAGACTTAACTTTGGGAAAATGTTGTGGTCGACTGTTAGTTGCGTTTCTGGATTGTCTATTTACGTACCGAAGGAAGAGAGAAGAAAAGACCGAGCAGCAGATTTTTTCGAAGCTTGTGTGACCCCCTGGCCAACTGATTTAGAACTGCAGGTTATCCAAGTGCCACTCTCATAATGAGTTGGTCACTGAGGAGAAGCCTAACACAACCGCACTTTTGGTGGTTGGAAAAAGTCTGGCAAACTGTTCCGCAGAGCAAACTGATAGGACTATACCGAGCACTACTGTATTGTACTCCGACTTTTGAACCAGAAGTTTGTAGATGGGGCCTTCGGTCGCTCTGCTGTTCAAGTGAAAGGATAACGACAATAGCCCAGTCCGTGCACAATTGAGAACTACACAACCACCAGTAATGTTATGTCACATGGCATCGTCAGCCAGAGAGCCTAACTTGTTTTATATGTGGGGAGGGTGGCAGGCGAGAACAGGATGCTCCTCTCACTTCCCATCTGTCTCCATTATTATCTCCCAACTCTCTTTCCACACCATTTATCTGTAGAAATATAGATGTATCAGTCCTTTCCTTAATAAACTGACGACTAGCCTACCACTACTCACTTTCGTCATTGTGCGCCTGCTTTCAAGTCGAACATGCCTTGTTTCCCCCACAGTCTTTAAAGTTGGATCTCCTGAACAAGATGACAAATCTGTTGCTTCTGGCGCGCTTTTACTATCTTATTGGTGAACATCTGGTGCGTTTTCGACGCCAGTATACATTGTCCGAGTGTGGAAATCCAGTTCTGGGCATCTGTTGTTTGTATACTGTCGAGTACGAACTTCAGGCGATCCTAAAGTCGATTGTAATGTGAAGAGATTTGGTGATCATAACATTACGATTTCGTCCAGTCACTGAAGCGAATCTATGCTGACAAGCTGTCAGGCACTGTACAGTGATTTCATCCTTACTTGAGGTCATCAAATGTGCACTTATCACAAAACTCAAGGGGATGGCTGTAATGGGTTGCTTCTGCTCCAGTAGAGACGTTGGTTTTCTATATTCGACTATTTTCCGCTCATGCACCAATCAGCTGTACCTCGGATCCGAGGAATATAATTCTTACCACAAACTTGCCACTTTGTCCAGAACACAAAAGTCTCATCTCAAAACTAGGAACCCACAGGAAATGCTATCCGATCCGATCCAGAATTCATAATAATGGAGTTCCTGTTCAGTAGTATTGAAGCTATGTGTAGTGGGTGCTATTGCGCTGCGGCGCTTTTGCCCATTGGAGAGCAACCACAAGGCCAAAAAATCAAAAACATTAGCTACTGATCATAAGCCTTTATTATTGACACATGATTTTCCTGGGATACCCAATAAGACCATGCTCTTGTCCGGTGAAAACTTCTGGTAAGTTTGCAGGTACCTTCTCATTAATTAACCCATAATTTAGTTATCGAAAATCTCTCTGATCTGGGCCCACCAAAACATTATTTGTGACGCCGTAAAGGTTGTATCTCTAAGAAGTTTCAAGTGAGGAAGAACAGTCTTATGACCGAGATTTTCGACTGCGGTGTTACTGAGCCCCCACTGGACAATTTTTGGATTGTCAAACAACCACATTCGCTGCTTGACACAACATTTTATTGCCTCGGACGCTGAGCATATTTCACCCATAAGGGTTGTTAGACGTCATCACAAGCCTAATCTGCCTATAAACCAAGAGATGGGAACACTAGGTGGTGCAAAATGGGGAAGCTGGAAAAACCAGAAACGACCAAAAGGCATAAATCAAGGCCCAGGAAGCAGGCCGTTAGTGAATGCTGAGCGAGTTATTTCCCATATCACTTGAACAATCTGTCCTCCCTCACACCGAGATCTTTCACTCGACCTACTCAGTTCTACGAATGTAAGTTTTTCCTTATTCTTCGTGATACTAGCATCCCTCCGTATCGAGTACCACTGCTGAAAACCACATGCATTGCAACAAAATTAATCAGAGTAGGCGATGGACTTTTGTTTGACTAGGGTACTCCCTATCTGTATACATCTGTGCACACTGGCGACGACGACGATGTTGTTTTTGCTGCTATATTTACTACTAATGCTGCGGCTTATGATGATGATGATGATGATGATGATGATGATGATGATGATGATGACAATGATGACGATGATGATGACGATGATGACGATGATAATGGTGGCCTTGATGATGATGGTGATGATGATGATGATGATGATAATGGAGGTTGGCACACACGTTATTTTTGGTTGGTCACCTCAGTTAGTAGCTCGGCATAGAAACTATGTCCAGTAGTTGCCATTCGTCTCATTGAGTGATTGATGTTGGCTTCAGGCTGATCAGCAATGGCCGGACGACTATTTACACAGCCCTGACCATCAGATATTCTAGGATTAGTCCACTGAGCACTGGATGTTCCACTTAGGCTTTGGAGGCACAAAGGTTTTGCAAAAAAACTCCTTTTTTTCAAGGAAAGTGTCCACCTTATTAGTATTACCCGATTTCCTCAGAGCAGAACCTTAGCTTAGATTTGAAAAAGGGCAAATGTCTATACCCGATGCTTTGCATACCATTATAACTTGGTTCCAATGCAGAGGGGCTTCTTATTAGTGTTGGAATCAAGAAAAACTCGACTGGAGTTTTAAAACAGAAAAATGTTTCACTGCAAGTGAAGAACACTAACGCCTTGGCAATAACTGAGAAGTCAGGGATTACGATGGAATCAAAAATAGAAGCAGTGCAGTATTTACATGCTTCAGTGTCACAGATCATAAGCTGAATGCAGTGACTTTATGAATTCCCATTTAGTGTTGTGATGAAGAGTCCAAACTGAGTAAAAATAATAAGGCATGATATGAACAGCCTCCTGACATTTGAATCCAGTCGTATCTAGTGGACTATATTTCCTTCTGACTACATTGGGAACTCGTTTTCTTGATCGGGGATGCGTTGTTAGGTTGATGGGTAATCCTATACAGCAAAGGAACTCCGTGAAAGTATAAAACAACCTTTCTGTATGGGGCGGTGATCCTAAAATTAGCATTGTCTGACTGGGCCTTCACAAGAGCATCAACATTCCGAAGTGAACAAATTAATGTCACTAATTAACTGAAACGTGTGTTCCCTTGTTTAGGACCTGAAGCCGTTCACACCACCGAGACTCTGTAACTTCTCGAAGTTTGTATGGATATCATGCCGTTTTTATAAATAATCGACTGTATATTGCGGGCCATAATTCTGGACTTGGTATCCGACGACCACCATTATGTGGATTCAACTAAGTAGACTGAGTATGTAATCTAGGTTCGGTTTATTACTAATATAGCCCACATGATGGTCCAAGACGGATACCTTTAAGTTCAAGTATTATGCTATTTTCATCTGTCAGCACATACTGTTGGTATTCCGCAACTTTAAAGCCAAAATCGTATCAGGTGTGACCTCATGTCACCATTGTTGTATCGACGAGGCAGAATAATGGCTCGCAAAAGCTGGCCATTCGTGAGTGCATAGGGTGCCTCCCGTGAGTAGTGTGGGCCACCAGACAAATGTTGCCGTGAGTAGTGACTGTTCAGTTAAGCCCACTGCCTTACCTTAAGTGATCATTGAGTTTGGAAGGGTGAAGAGGACGCTACCAAGAACTACCTGTAATCATGCAGCGACTGAATCGAATTCGGAAGTCACATGAGCCAATTCGAAAACTGTATAAATCTGCCTCACTCCGAAGACGAAGAAGATACTGTATTGGAACTCGTTCAGCCGTGATAAATGGATCGGAAAATGGCCATATCGACCGGAAGAAAGTGATACTCAGCTGTTAGGAAACGTTTCAATTGTGTGGTCCAGGTAAGTTACTTGCGGGAAAGATGAAATATTTTCGTCATTCGATATTATGAAGATGGTTGTTCGAGAGGCGATTGTGACGACAAATGAACTACTCTCGGTAAATGGAATTGCACGAAAGATGTCATACTGCGTTTCTACATGCCAATTACATCACAAAATCGCGGTTAATTTTTTCGCAGTATTTGGCTACTCACGGCCACATCCTAGATCAGACTTTCACTCTGTTGTGAACCTATCGGTGATCTTGAGAGAAGTTTATGGAAGCTGTTGGATCTTTCGTATCACCGCGGACAAGAGAAGATAACTGGTGACGTTCTGGAAAATCCGAAAAAAAGCGGTGTTAATGTATTTCAGTGGTAAAAAGAAAAACATTTTGCTTCTGGCAAAATACGCTTATTCGGACAAGAGAAGATAACTGGTGACGTTCTGGAAAATCCGAAAAAAAGCGGTGTTAATGTATTTCAGTTGGAGACATTACAAGATATGGCTGCCAACCGATGTCAATGGCGTTCTTGTTGTCAGTTTCTATCCAGATTGCCTGAGTGAATGTCTGGAGGTGTAGGCACCTCGGAACGATTGTGGTAAGCTAGCACTAAATCCTTTCCCAGTCCACCTTTATTCTTTTCTTTACAATTAGGCTTTCAAATAAATCATGGCTGTACGACAGCGAAGCATCGGTGTTGAAGACTGATGTCACGCTGTCGATGATGATGACGTTCATTCGCATATAAAGCTGTCGTTAACGGGGAGCTCAGATGAACCACGGCTGAAACTCTGATTTATGCTGCACAAAAACTGCCTCGAGTTTCGGTAGGTACGATATTCGAGATGTTGCTGCGTATGTTTTCAACATAAGACTCAGTGTATGTCTGCCAGGAGCTCAGCTCACCATTTGATTCATCCCTATTGGGAGTCATCATATAAGCGTTTCCCCCCAGTTTCCAGCATACCAGAAAAAGGTCAGTCGGAATTCACTTGAGACTCTTGTTAGCATCAACGTAAGTTGCAAATGAACGCAGTTGGCCACGAGTATTCGATGATTTCTTCAAGTTGAACATAAAGCTGGTAAAAACTCGGAGAAACCGTCTACTTCTCGAGTGCCAAAGAGACGTTTCATCTTCTCATGAAGCAGCTGTCCTGCACCTTAATTCTTCAGCGCCATATAATTTCACATCCCATGGTATCCTGTATTGTTCCGATGAGTTTGCACACCTAGTCGCATGCGAGCTTTTGTACAGTCATCCCAATTCTGAGGTTCGTACTTTGGGAGAGGGCAACAACGCGTCGGAATAATAGGTGATTTTGATGTTCTCTAGTACTGCTGTTTGACTTCAGGTCACATACTGACTTGCTAGCTGTATGACCTCATAAGCCCTGAGTGTGAGAAAGATGGCGGAATAAAAGGGGAAATGTCTAACAAAAGAAAAGACCCCATGCCTACCGCTTTCCACTTTTTTCGAACTATCCTGAAACTCGGATATGAATTTGCATGCGTATATGAAGTGCAACGGATTTTTTAGAAGTGTTGCAGAAATCTTCTTTTTAGACCTTCTCATCACCTGATATATGTCAGCAACTTTCAGGAACAAATCACATGCTTGATGTTTGACTGCTATGAAGCTGCCCAACTGTTTTTTTCTAAATTGTAGCTCAATTTACATCAAGCCAACAGACGTCCGGGGCAAATATGTACCAACTGCAACACGTCTGCAACGACGCTTTGGCGGCGAAACGCTGAGGGTGATCCCGTGTGCAACGCTTGTGGACTGTATTACAAATTGCATAAGGTAACTGCGAGCAGCAATCTTATATAGTGCTACGCTGTGCGTCTTTACTGACTAGAGATTTTCAAAATTTTAAACACACTGTCAAACAGCAGGGATTTCATTTGTACGGCTTCTGCAATTTGTTCCAATAATGCATTGAAGTTGACTAGACTTCACCTTGGATAACCTGAATGGGTCACTGTTTAGAATAAGGCCATCGAGTACCTTGTAATCTGCAGCATCACATATACATTTTTACGAATAGTATGGTTTGCAACGATCCCTAATACAGTCATCGTGTCATAAATATCAGCCTGTTTCAACAGTCGTTCTGCCAATCCATCCAGCCCAAAATGTAATTCCGTCAAACCTAATCTATGTCCGGTCATAATGCATGATAGTCGCCTCAGAAATGAAGGTTCTTAGATCACCTTGGTTCCCTGACCGCCTACCAAAGTTACTGGTTATACTTTCGAGTCCAGTTGTAATATTATCTTTGCAGTGACGTTCCAGTACAACAAAATTTATCATGCTAAGAAAAGTTTCGTTGCAAAAGTTGACTTGTTGGGACGAAGTTCTTTGTAACACTAATGTTTGAATAAGGAAACCGACGTGTTAAAATTTTGTTCGTTATAACGGGTCAATTCCAGAAGGCTTCTTAAATTATGTAGCACTGATAAGAAACAGTCTTTAGTTCGAAGTTTGGATGAAGGCTCTTTTGAGCCTAGGACCAACAGTGCTGATCATATGGTCGCTTGCTTAAATTCCTAGACGGGTTAACAACCCATGGAGGCATTCATATAAGGTTCGTAACTTCACGCGACCTCATGAAACTGCTGAGAAAGAAGTCTACTGTACTTGAAAATCTCAATTGCTGAACGGATCCAGGTTTACTTGCCCTGTGTAGGGGTGAGTCGCATTAGAATGACTATCGTAGGTCTGTATTATTGTCGAGAAAAATCGCCATACATGATCAAATGGACTAACCAAGCAACTGGGCTAAAATTACTGTCATCTATTCGCCAAGTACCGATTCGTTCCGGTATTTACGTTGATGTAATTTTCTGCCTCCTTGCAGTTTACAGGTTCATCTGCGGATACACTGAATCAACAAGGTATCTAACTCCAAGGGTAACTGAACGTACAGCCCCCAGATTTCTTTCAACCAGAGAAGAAATGAAATCCATTGCTAAGAACCACAGAAATTCAACTGAGGACAACTCTAGTCAGCAAGGATAGTGTGCAGTTCAACAGCTTTATCTCTGTGGGGACTTTCACGGCCCTATGCGCTCTGTTTTGCAAATAGAGGAAAAAAGAACGGTGCTGCATAAAAGTCTGGGAACCAATGCTTAGGAGCACTGTGCTCACTTAGGGATTCGAAGAACAGTTTCAAAAATCCTCTTTCAGAATTCGCAGCATTCGTTATCGGTTAATAGTGACGAGTGGGAATTTAATATTTTATTGACAGGTGGCATATCAAAACTTATTCGGTTTACAAGAAAAATGAAGGTTGGTAGATATTGTTTACAGCCAAATAATATTGCAGATTCAGAATGCAAAAGAACCAAAGTCTGATTGTTGTGCCACTGTCTCATGTGCTTTCAGGTGAATCGTCCAATTTCAATGAAAAAAGAGGGAATTCAGACACGCAAGCGTAAACCAAGAATGGTTTCATGTCGGTCATCAGCTCACATTATTAGTGGGTCCCACCAGGCTGGCCTGAAAAATGGAAAAACCTCCACCAGAAGCGGATCACAAAAAACAGTAAGTATTATTCTAGGTGGGGTTTTGTCAAAGTAACAATGGTTTGAATGGGGTCAGCTATTCGCCGACTCAACCGCTAACATTAATTGCTTAGATATCGTGCATGCAAAGGCATTTCTCCGTCTAAATTGCGCAATGATTATATTTTGTTGGTAATTGATCAGGTGGCTGTTGATCTGTTCGCCGAGCTTGGCAACACATTACATTTTGTCTCAAATTGGCTTAACGTTGCTTTGTGGATTACTGGAAAACATGTCCCACAGACAGCGCCACCAAACAGTAATCTAAGCAGCTCTACGGGCCATTTTGAAAATTCGTGTTACATGATAGCCTTTCAGCTAGGGGCGAGTGTATCATGAGATGAACAACCAATCATGGGGTGAACTGCCCACATAGTACAGTTAATCCAAAATAAAAACTGTGGAAGGACACGAATCATAACTTAGGAAACACTCAGACTCGTAATTTCATAGAGCCAATTTAAATGAATCAGCACTTCTTCACAGCGTTTCAGACGGTGTGCATAATTCCTAGTATGATCCCTGGATGACTTAGTCAAAAAAACCTGTTTGTCATCGATCCTCACGTAGACCGAGACTTGCTTTCTAACCAAATGACAATTCACTACTGATCAGCTTAATCTAACGGAACCAACAGTTGGTCAGACTGTGACTCTTGCCTTGTTCAATGAACCCGCACCTCCCATAAAACTAGTCTTAAGCTCGGCAGCTTCTCGTTTGTGTGATGTGACGAGTTAGCAGTTCTCTTCTCAGGTGAATTAGTTCGTCTTTAATATAAGTTCTACAAGGACTCACTACCGGTGATACTTTTTGTATACAAGCGTCCAATATGCTAGAGTTTTGAAGACTTTTCGGGGCACACAAAATTGTGTCACGAATTTCTACCCCGATAGTACTTACTATGATACCTTTGGTATTGCTTTATTCCAGCAGACAAATCAGGGAACGAAAGCGAAGCTGATGGAGGAACGCTGGGCAGAGCGGCTCGATTCTGAAACACTCAAAGCTGAACCCATATTCCCTGCGCCACCCTTCTACCCAAACGAAGACTCAGCTACTTCTGACTTTTCATCAGGGTTCCTTTGAACTCAAATCAATGATCATTTTGGACCCCATTAGGCTGTGATAAGACAGGATATGTGCGGACGACTTGGCTGCGTCTGACTGCATGATTAGTTTCCGCAACCCTCAAAGGTTGTGTTCTCTTATCTCGTGAAAACAATGCATTTAAGTCTCTCCTTTCTTCCTCTAGGTTTACCCTTTCTCCTCATTCAGATTCCATTCATACTGCGAACATGGAAATGAACATCTTTCGTGAACCCATTTTGTTGTACATAGCACGACACAACTAACAACTTTTCTGTAATTTTGTGATTGTGACCTGCTTTGATTAGCTCCAACCCCGAGTTGATACAATACGAGAAAAAGGATGTCGTATCAAAGATGTAATTTCTGAGTGTTAGTGGACACAGGGGACACTGACGTAAGGGGAGCTTGTGGTGGTGTGGGAGGTGTAATTAATATGGGCGTGTTTGGACTTAGTTTCAAAATAACAACAAAACTTCTCGATGGTTAAGCTGCACTAGGTGAACCAGGAGTCCTTCGCGGTGTTGTGTCTGGCATTCACATCAAAAGTGTTGCCCTTTTTATGCCACGGTTTCTCAAGTGCACCAGGTTTCGCATGCCTGAATTTCAAACAGTGGTCTCCTTTGAGAAATCTGCCCTCTTGAGTTTTTAAAAAAAATATTTCTTCCCCTGAAAGTGCCACTTTCCAAGCCATTGGTATTTCACATACCATACAGTAGGATTATTGTACGAATAGCGTATCCGAAATAACAGGATATATTTTACTTGAGCGAGTTAAACTGGATGAGGCTTTTGTGATTACTTCAAAATCATTTTCCGAGTTAAGCAGCCTTTGATTAAGTATGCCTGATATTATGTTAACCGAAATGCAGCACCTACCACCCGGAATACTGAATTCTATTATCCTACTTGCGTCTTTCAGATCTACACCTCTATGTCTAGTTAGTTTTTTTTCGACAGCAAAAAGTGTTGGCTGCCGATGAGGTGTAAGGAAAATTGGGCTCCAAATTTCCCCACACATTCAGTTGCTCATCCCTTCGTAATATCACGTGTGCTGTTGTAATGCTGCTCGAAATAAATACGAAGCAATCCTATTGAGAATTCATCTCGTGCAGAAAACATGTAGACCCGAGAAGAATCAATGTAGATCCATTAAATATAGTCATTCGCTACCAAGGCCAGAAATTTTCAGTGAAAGTCATGCCTGAAGAGTTAAAAACGTTTGGTGACTTCGAGAATCTTCGTTTACCCATTTCATTTTACAGTATCCAAGTAACTTGTTATTTCCCACAATTCTGGAAGGCCTGATAATTCGCCGGTCGATGGAATTCGTCACTGTTTAGGTCCCAGAAAGTTCGACGGCAAGCCCAAACAAGAGATTTCGTCAGGTTTTTATCTTCAACGAGCACGCGACACTGTAATGCTATTCAAAACAGCAAGTCTAATTTGTCATTTAGGTAGTTCACCACCGCAGACAGGTGGTGTGTCGAACTCCGCTGCAAGGACTTTCTTCGCGGCGGCCCACTCCACCTTCTGAGGGCCCCTTCTGGCCGCATCCAGGGCCGCCTTCACCCGGCCCCTGAGGAGGGTCTTCAGCGCTGCCAACTTACTCCGGTCGGTCTCCAGCCCGGCAGCCTCCGCAACCTCCTCAAAGTCCTCCAGGAAGGTCCGAACATCCCCATCCTCAAAGGGTTGCGGCCACGGGATCTTTATCCTTATCCTGGCGACGCCACCAAATGAAAGGAACAAGGTCTTCGATGCGGAGTTATTTATTCAGAAATGCCAATTAACCGGTTACAAACCATTGAACAGGGCAGCAAAACTCTAATATGCATCTTAGTTACAAATCTGGACACATCTTCTCCCGAACGAGTCTTCCTAGAGATTCCTTGCCACCACTCACTCGTCGGTCAAATCCAAGCAAATGTTACAAAGTGGCCCCACGAATTCCGCAACAGAATTCCCCTTTTCAATCGACGCAAAGCGAAATTCTACGAACAACACATACTACTCGCGTGCCTCCCTAATCAGTAGTATCACCTCTACACAGGTAGTCAGACCCCCGATTGAAACCTGTCCAGTTTTGTTGTACGTTTGGCTTTTTCATATTCTAAGTAACGCATCACGACGGGGGTATTTCGTCCGCTTGACACAACCCCCTTGAACTGCATGAACGTTATACTCACAAAAAATACATCACTGATATTAACATGGGGTCCGTGACGATCGGGATTCTTCGGGTCATCGTGCCAATCATGTACGGGTTGTTGCTTACGATGACTTGTCGAAACTTATATGCGGATATTTACCTTGAGAAGGAACAGCTTTGCATGCAATTCTGTTCACCCAAAAGCGCCAGTGCTAAGGTAACTCAACATCTGCTACAGATGGAGTGAATACGACACGGTAACTCGGATTGGTATGATAAACGATGTCCATGAAATGATATTTGCTGACAAGGGGTGAGATGTTTCGACATCCGCAATCAAGGTTCTGTTTGAAATGGGGGAAGTGAGCAACTGCTCTGCTGACAGATTTGCATAGCTGAACGTGGAAAATATTTGGATGAATTCTGCCGACGCTGTCACTTACTTATTGTCTTACCAAATGATACGGTAAGGGGACAACACTGTTAAATTAGTTCTCACGTAGAGCAGCTCAAGTACGACTGTTTTATTGGTACGTAGGACGTCAGCTTTAACAGTGTAGTTGATTATTCCCTCCAGCTAACTTCAAGTGTCTGTCAGTGTTAAATTGATTGGGTGGTTATGTGTATAGTTGTTCCTAAAGAGATCACTAAGATCCCTATCCTATCTCGGAAAGAAACTTTGTACAGCGATGAGGTTGCCGTGGGTAGATGACGAGACGTAACGAGTTTTCGGAAAAAATTACATATCGAGGGACCAGTTCACTGGTGCAAGAATTAACCCGGAAGTTAGTCTCTCAGGGGTCGGTACACCAGGATCCGAAACGCTGGATCCCAAGAGCACGACTTCTGTGGTGTTTTTTGGTGTGGAACAGGCGTGGATGAAGCCTTCATGAAACCGACAAATTTACATCTGCACTGTGCGCAAAACTACACCTTCGTTGCGTGTATTTTCGGGTCTCAGTCTGCCCTAATGATTGACTGTTTGTACATCGAATTGATGTATGGGCAGATCACACCCACGTCTCCAGAGGAGACCACGGCAGGTCTACTGCCAGTTAGTAAGCACAGCGCACTGCACAGTTAGATGGGCCAATTAGGTGGTGAAGACACTGCATGCAATCGGGACCTGCATCCGTATGGTCGGGCCGTGTTCCGGGTGGCAACAGGTGACACGGACATTGAGTTAGACTGGAACACATATGACAGCGCTGACCTTTGTCTGGTTGTGTCCCAGACACAACATCAGTGGGAATGTTATCAGCGCGCAGCAATCGCTGAGCACCGAAAGTATTGGAAGTACTCGATGCCTCAGTGAGCTAGCCAATGAGTGTGCTACCTTCGTTCGACCCGAATTCGCTCTTTTTGCATGTGCTGTCTGTTCTGTTCCATCAGGACCGTGAGCGTCAAGCAGTTGATTTCCAAAAACCTCAATCGGTGAACACTGATCTAGGTAGAAAATACCGGTTGAAAGCACATCGGAAATGAGAGCAGTAGCATCAAATAATCCATGAGTCATAGTTTTTGTGTAGAATACAAGCTTTTCCTCCGCATAGAAAGCAGCATCTCAGGGATGGAAACCTTTGAGGCACTGACAGGGTGTTCTATGAGCCGCTTGTCGCCAAACGAATGCGGAAGAATATCGGCTCCTCTTATATGGAACAGTTTGAGGACAGTTATTGCATGTCAACAGTTTGATACGTTATATGTAAGGCAGTCCCGAAAATGAGAGCATAGGGCATATTTCTAGCGCACAGGACTTTGACATGAAGGCACATTCATTCTCATTCCGAGCTGTTTTGAAAATCATATCAAGACTGATTTTGTCTTCTATGGAGGCGTTATAAATTATACCAAGGCACGTCTTCATGACCTGGAGTTACTTCAACTTGAATTAGTTTTCGTGACTCTTCTGTGGTTGCCCCGCTGAAAGTACATGGATAAACACGAATAAACGAAAAACCACCACAAATTGGAAGTCACTCGGTAACATCCCCGTGAGCGCTTCCTATGCGGCGTAACGTTGGATGGAAAAGTTCTTCTGCTGATGATTGCATCAATCTTCCTTACACTGACCTCGAGTCTTCATAGGTTTTTGTGACTAGGATGAGATTGATTTACCTGCGCACAAGGTATTCTAACAGGCTTGTGAACTCACATTTATTTCGAGGATTTTGTTGGTTCACTCTATCTTCTCACGTTAACAAAAACGCCAGTTATTCGACGAGTAGTTTTCAAAACTCTTCGTTAATTTTTTAATCGCTAATTTTACCGTTCTCATGTGATAGCTATAATCTGCCTTCGTACGGCTAAAGCAAGGAGTGATTTAAAGTCTTTTATGCCCTGTTGATAATGAAACTAACAACCCTCAACAGTCTTGACTAGGGGACCATTTCATTTGCACGATATGGAGATACCACATTTAAGGATCATTTAGTTGGGCTTCAGAGTTGCCACGCAATCCCTTATGTCAGCCACTGGTTTCTATCCGTCCAACTGTGAATCACATTACATCAACTTTTACTGACAAAAGTTTTACTAGCCTAAAGGGAGACTATAAGCAAGCAGTAAACCAAAGAAACACGTTAGGTGCTTCGGGACTTTCCCATCTGGGATCCCTTTAAATTCCTTTAAATCCCTAGAAAAATGGCTAGTCATTGGGGGTTAACACTAATTGACCTGTCACAAGCATCTTTGTTGTTTCTGCGAAGATTTTGGATACTGTCAGTCCTTTTTCTGCGGAGCACCACGAAGTGAGATCGGTCAGCTGACAGGCTGGCATCCCAGGAGTTGTTGCAGACGTTCCTTTTTCTCTTGTTCCGCGAAACACTGAGGAGTGAGGTTAACCAACTAAGCAGTTATGATCTCTTGACTGAACGTTAATAGCCACAATGTTCGAAAGGCAGCGCTCTATGCGATAGCCTGCATGTCCAGCGCAATTCGTGAAGTCAGCGTATTTCGTGGGAAACTGGGATTGACGAAAAAGTGACGAAAGGAGAACTTTCACGGAAAAGACGTTGGTGGCCGGAATTTTTGGACAACCTTAAACATGAATTGGACTGTGTGGTTGGTTTTCAAACATCCCACCGAAGGGGGCCGATCCTAAGTTCTTGTTTGCTGCATCAAAGAAGCTGAAAACATAGAATGGTACTACATAAAGAATAAGTAAATACTAGCGTAGATGAAGGATGAACATGTGGGCGAGTGGACGATGGTGTACAAGGATGCCTGAAATGCAGTGGGAAGTGCCCTTTAAACTGGATTTATTCCAACTACAAGGGGTGTATGGCAAAGCAGTATTCGTTTCATTTGACTGGCGAAAATTTCGCCATCCATCAGGCACTTACTGAAGAGAGCTTGCTAAATTATTTAGCCAAAGTGGCACGCGTCCTTAATGACCAGTGTATAATGCCTTTTCATGTTACTCCAGAAAATGTAAGTTTACTTTTCCAAACCAAAGAATCTGTCATTCTTACTTCAAAACCCGGAAGCCTCTGACGAGTATTACCTTACAGCTTTAGTTTTTGTCCGTTTCTCTGTCCACAGTTTAAATCTGGTACTCGTTCGAGACTATACTCAGTAATTTCGTGCCACCATATTGTTTACCAAAGACATCTGTTCACTCACTTTTACCCGACTTCTTTTTCGCCGTGGGGAATTATCTAAGTATTTGCATGCGGATAGTTAACACTGCCTACCGCGTCAGTATGAGGGTTGGGAAGTCTTTCCAACTCTAACTGTGTCTTGCCATCTCGGCATCTGTCACCTGATTGCCAGTCTATTTTGGTTTGAGAGTCTGGTGATTGATGGCCCTCTTCCGTCATTCGACTCTGATCGCTATCTCAGTATAACCGCTGGGTGGAGTGTCTAGTGGTTATAGAGACAACGGTAGTCATCACGGCGCATAGGAATCAACGGAAACACGTGTGACCATAGCTTAAAGCAGTCATATGTGTACTTCAAGCTGAGAAGCAGGAGGCTGATTAAACACAGTCCTGAGGTTTATCTCCTCGTAATGCGGTATGTGTACTTCAAGCTGAGAAGCAGGAGGCTGATTAAACACAGTCCTGAGGTTTATCTCCTCCGTAATGCGTGGCTCACCATAACCGAAGCCCAGTTAACAAACTACGATGAAGAATTACTAACACTAGCAACAAACCTTTTTGTGATCAGTGAGTCACGCCCTCTCTTGTAGACTAAGCATATTGACGATAGCATAACTGTCCATACCAATTCCTTTCTGTTGTAAGTAAATAGGAATCAAAAACGTCTTTCCAGGCAAGCACTAATCATGAGCTCGTAGAACGTTCGAAAAGTGAAGGGTCAAAACAATATTATGGAAAAAGCTTTACCCTGGTTGAAGTCGAACTTAAAAGAGAGAGAATTGATGTTATGTCTATGAGAAGAACACAGTCGAGAGATCGAGGAAGAATTTGATCGGATCTTCGACAGGAGGAAAATGGGATCATGAAGTTGGTCTTGCCTTGCTCAAACGCACTAAAAAATCGGTTGACTCGTACCCACGTGGAATCAATTAACGTCGCGCTTTACTGTGACTGAGATAAGCTCATCAGTGCTTGTGACCATGACCAGTACATATGATGCA